CTATGTGAGTCAGTCCGTTTATCAGACTTCCGCTGCATATATGCTCATCCTACATTGGTTGATCTTTGGTTCTGCCCATACTCATTGAAGTATGTAACAGAAATCCAAGTTTCAAAATCACGAAGGAGCCCAGGTAGTCATGTACCAAGCAGAGAGCACAATGCACCAAGATATTGTCCATATAAGAGCAATACAATGAACTCGTATGTCAATGTCGCCACTCTCTGGTCACACTGATGCAGTAACCAATGTCGCTCCAACTGTCTGGCGCTCAGCGCCCAGCCTACTCTACTCAGCTATCTACACCTATCTACGTTCTTGCAACCAGATCACATTGAAGTTGAAGACCAATGTACGTGACATCATCACCAATGCCGACTGCCAGCATACACCAGGTACGTTCTCTCTCATCCCCTCATCACCCCTTGTCGCCCCCTGCATGCGCCTCCTACCCGAAGACCACCATCGCCGTCACCTGCATCCGCATGTGCTGCCTGGCTATGGCCGCCGCGCGCCCACTGCCACCGCAGTGCCCTCTCACCTCTCAGCACCCGTATGTGCCCCAGCCTGCCAGCGCTAAGCAGCGCTTCATCCGACAACGCAGCAGTGTGGCTGATTACCTTGGCAGGCCAGAATGCCGTGCCCAGGGGGCACACACTTTCCTTTCTGGAAAGTGTGCGCGCTGCTGGCTAGCCTGGAAAGGCGTGTCGGGGCCCAGTAGCTTCAGTGTGGCCCCAAGTGTCTGTGCTCAGGCCCAGTTTCAGATACTGGCCTGGGCCTCGTGCAGTTAGGCACGTTCAGGCAGCCACCCAGCCTCCAGTGTTTGCAGCATTCTCATTGGCTCGCGGTGCATGTGTGACGACAATGCTCCTTTCTCATTGGCCCGCGGCCAGTCCGTGATGTGTCATCCTCACACAGCATGTAACCAGGGCGCAACCACCTGAGCCCTGGGCTCAACTGTACAGCGCAGCCCTTTCTTCTGGAAGTAGCCTGAAGGCTCACGATGCGCTGTAACCAACTGGCGTGCTGCAACTGTCTGATACCCCACATATGAAAAATGTTGAAAGTAGGCCTCACATGGATATTTAGGCCCGCCTTCACTTAGGGTGGGTACGAGGTTGCTGGAGGCCGCAGCCCAGAACACTTGCATGTCTGATAAAAGCCCCGCGAGGGCTCACAGGTTATGTCGGGCTATGGGCCCAGGATCTGATTCAACATTGCAGGGGCAGACATCGATTGGACATTTGACGGGGAGACTATTTTTGGACTTTGTTATCGGGAGTCTGGTCTTCTCCCTCGCCTCCATTCTCATCTCGCTCCTCCATTCCTTCAACTGTGGCTATCTCCCCATCTGCGTGTTCAAGGAGGGACCTTTCTTCTATGTATGTGGTCCCTCCCTTCTCTCTCACATCTGTGGTGTCTCATGGAATGAGTCCAGTCAGTGTCCGATTGGTCAAGTCATATCTCTGAGTCTTCCGCTGCGCTACATTGTGCCATTTTTGTACGTATATGGATGTACATTGATGCTTCGCTGATGCTGCATTGTCCATTCGAGTCCTTATCATCACTTTGGTGGTCCTTTGGCTCCATTGGATCACTTGGATTATTCTGTGCATGCATCAATGTCTCTCTCTCTCTTACACATTTGAGTGCATGTGTGTGTGCGTGTGTGAATGCTTGCTTGCATGTAAACTTGTATCATCAGGCACAGGAGAGGCGGATAAAGGCGCTAGAGAAAGAAGTGGATGCAGCAGTGGCGGCATCAGCACTTGCCAGAGCAGCGAAAAAGCAGGCAGAAGACGAGAAGAGGGCTGCCGAAGAAAGAGCTCAGCAGTTCCTCCAGGAGCTGGAGGGAACCACAAGTGAGCAGAGAGAGACATCTCTGTCCCCTTGTCTTGGCGTCACTGTTATCTGATTTCTTCGTTCGTTTTCTTTTTTTAGCTCGTCTTCAAGTCAAGGACAAGAAACCTGGGAAGATTTTCATGACCGGCCGGTCACCCGGGCATGACGTCCGGGATACCCGGGTATGGGGAAAATAAAATAAAATAAAATAATAATAATAAAATTTGGCGGTGGTTTTTTTCTGCGCTCTCCGAGAGGAGCCCAAATCCGGGCTCTTTTCTTTTTTTGAGAGTTGGCTGTCAATGGGGGGAAAGGGAGCATAAATGAATTTAACGGGGCTAAAGGGGTTTAAAGGGGGGTGCCTTAGTGTGATTTTTTTAATTTGGTTTTTATCTTCAGTTCCGTGAGGAATGCTGATGTGACCCTCACTCAAAAGTTGTTTGTATGCAATTCTACACAACATACTTTTTTTTTAGATTTTTGTGGAGTTTTTGTTCTTTTTTCTTTTTTTTTTTTGCGCTGGGGCTGCCCGGGCCTATGCCCGTGGGTCATGCCCGGCCGGTCACCCGGTTGGCAAACATGGCGTGATGTTGGGACCCGGGCGCCCGGGATATCTCCCTAGCAAGAAACTTCATTTTATTTACAAAAAATGCAGGGAAAGAATACTTCTAGCTGTTACGATCCTGGTCATTCGCAAAGTGCAAATTCACAATGAAAGACAATGCCACCCAATTGCGAAAGAAATGAAAGCACTTGCAAAGAGATAGAGACCAGAGGAGAGAGAAAGAAGAAGAAGAAGAAGAAGAAGAAGAAGAAGAAGAAGATGTACACCAGCAAGACCAATGACAATTCCCCCTTCTCTCTCCACCTTCCTCCTCCTCCTTCACTTCGCCAATCTTATTCTTCTGCCAATAATAATAATAACAATGAGTGGATGAACCAGAATCAATATCCGAAGTTCCCTCTTACTGCTGACTCAGCAACAACAACAACAACAAGTCCACCATAGCTATGGATTCCCTCCTTCTTCCTCCTCTCACATGCCTAGGCTTTGGCGGACTACTGAGGGCCCTGCCCTCCTGTCCAAAGGACAACCCAAAGCAGCTATGGCGCTGCACTCCTGTCCAAAGGACAACCCAAAGCAGCTATGCCGCTGCTGACTGATCCGCCATGCCAGACTCTGCCTCCAGCTTCCTTGGTGCGGCACTACCCCAACTGGGGCCTTCCAGATGCAGCGCCCAACAAGGTGATGAAGAGGGTGTCCACCATAGCCCCAGGTAGGTGCCTCGCCACTCTCCTCCTCCGCCCCCTTCTTCCTCCTTTTCAGGCTGGGCTGCTCGCCATAGCCAGGCTGAGCGCCAGCTCCCTTCACCTCCAGGCAGCGCTGTATCAGTCCAGCGCTGTGTTCCAGCAGCATGTCGCCAATCCTTGCATATCGCAAATGAGGAGGAGCTACTTGCTCCTCCGGAAGATATAGCGGCCTACTGGCCTCTTGGGCGGTGACTTCCTAGGCCGAGCGGCCTCCCAGCAACCGGTACCTCCTCCCTTTCGGAGGGAAACATCATTGCAGACTCTGCTATCCTCCGGACAGGCCCTAGACCCGAGCTACTTGGACTGCTACCTGTAGCCTACCGCTACTGGGCCTCTAAAAATGCCAACTTTTTGTCTTCTTCTGCTCGGCCTCCAGGACCCGACATTTCTACCACTACTTCAGTGGTACCGGCCTACCTGCTACTTGAGTGTTTTTCCCCTCTGCTCTAAGTGTCGCAGGCCTACCCCCGCTACTCAAGTGTTTTCCCCGCTGCAACCCTCAAAGTCACGGCCACAGGTAAGTACCGGCCCTGCGGGGCCTTTCAACCAACAAGTACCCTTGCGGGTCACACACACACTCAGCCGACAAGCACTCAGACAGGCATGCAAACCAGCAGGCACGCACACACACACAGACATGGAAATCACAGCAGAATGCGGGAATCTCAGCAAGGCATTCATTCCAGCGGCAAATCCCAGAAATCAGCAGTGTTCTCAGTCTGTGTTTTTGGCGGGTCGTTACATAGCAATCTATCACTGGCCTTCACAAACATTCAGAAACAGATTCCTGGGATGTACAGGTCTACGGAACTGGTGCTCAAACTTTCTGGTGCCCAGTGTAGGTCGGACAGCTACTGGAGCCAATGCAGGAAGTAATACATGCTGTATGGTTGCCGACTATCAGCCTCCTCTTTTTCTTCTCTTCGTACTTCTTCTTCGATGCGCTGACAAGATTTGTCAAGGGCACCAGCACTCACAAGGATTCTTGGGAAAGGTTTCTCGAGTGCCTGGTAGATTTGTGAGCATGGAAGCACAAAGAGCAATATGGCTTGAGGGTCATGAAGTTGTAAATCCACAAGACAGTTTAGGGTTAGAATGATGGATGAGGGTAGCCATCAGTCCACACTCTGGCACACAAAGCCTCACACATGAGATGCACACCAACACGACATAAGAACACTTCGGAAATTTCTTGCAAATTCAAGTATTACTGTATTAGTAATAATTTAGTATGTATTACACAACAGAGTCTCTCGTGTGTTCACTCGGGTGACCATGGCCGCCGACACTCAAACAGGTATGTCGCTTGCGCAGCCTGTCTCTACCTACTTGCACAACAGAGTTTCTCGTGTGTTCACTCGGGTGACCATGGCCGCCGACACTCGAACAGGTATGTCGCTTGCTCAGCCTGTCTCTACCTACTGTATCCTCAGGCCCCCCTGTCTCTGAGTGTTTCCCTCCTCTCATGGTGTCTCTCTCTCTCTCCTCTACTACTAAGCTCGACACCCATCAAACTACAGACCACTTCAGTCTCACTCGCTGCTTGACCGCACGAGACCGCAACAGCGCATCCGCGACCGGCACAAATGCAAATTGTGTCGACACTTAGTGGCTGCTGAACTTCTGTACTTGCTGCAGTTCGCAATCTTGAACTTTTCTGGACCGTTACCCTTATCACCCACCGTCGTCTTCCTGTGCTTCCAGACTTTTGTGAACTTTCCTGGGACTAAGCTGTGACTCGATTGACAGACAGATCACTGATGACCAGGGCTTCCAGACTTTTGTGAACTTTCTTGGGACTAAGCTGTGACTAGATTGACAGACAGAAAGCATGAAGCGGGGCATGCAAACCGACGGTGTTTCGTCCCTGAGGGCCTTATGACGGGAAACTCTCACGTGTGTGAAACGGTTTTCACCTTTGCAGAGGCAGATGCAGATCCCAGGGTTCAATCCCCAGACCTTACCTTACCCATGTACAGTATCGAGTTGACCCCTGAGTGTTGAACCCGTGACCTGTGTGTCGTTAGTTGTTGTTTGTCTGTCATAAGGACTGTGTAGATGTAGGGATTCGATCTGTAGGTCTGTCGAGTAGGGGTCACAGCTCTGTAGAGGTCGTAGCTGTAGGTATTCTGAAAGGTCAAGGTCATAGCTGCTACAGTCCTGAAAGGTCAAGGTCGTAGCTGCTACAGTACCCGAAAGGCCAAGTCCACAAACTTCCGAAAGTTCCGGAAGTGGCCTTTCAATGCGGTCTCACGTTTTAGTCAGAGGCAAGTGGGCAAGTGGTGAGCCCAACTGCGTTACGTCGGCAGTGCGACTGCATCGAGTTGGCAGTGCAAACTCATGCAGTCAGCGGTATTGGTCCAATCAGTCCCAGTCCAGTCCAGCAAGTACCATGAGGGACTGTGTGCACCATGGGCCGATGGAAAGAGGCGGACCAACAAGTTACAGAAGTATAAATCAAGAGGCAGCGCCCAGCCATTCATTCATTCCTGCGTAAGCCATGCGGAAGCGCTGCTACAGCAACTTGTGCGAGGTGGTCTGCATTAGGCCCGAAGACGAAGTGGGCGAGAAGGAAGCTTAGAGCCATAGCGATAGGGTAGGCAGCGGCCATAGCCGCCATAGCTGATAGGAGAGAGAGAGGGGCGTGTGGGAGTGTGCGAGTGTTGTGTGTGTGATATCCAGGGTGATCCAGAGTTGAAGTGTGAGCGAACAGTGGTGTTGGACACAGTGACGAGAGTTGGGATGTATAGGTGCTGGTGCACCATAGCCTGTTGAAGCGAGTTTGCATCCGAACTGTGTTCTTGGTTTCCATATCTCTGAGCTTTGAGTTCGGCGCTATGCGCCAGTGTGAATCACCATCTGTTTGTATGCATGCGAAGTGAAGAAGAAAGTGAGTCTGATTGCACTGGTATCAGAGTTGGTACCCGCTATCCCGTGCGCCATCGCCGTTGCAGCAGGAGAGAGACGCACGCCGTAGGGCGCCATAGTTGAGGAGCGCCGTTGAAGAAGGAAGTCCGCCATAGCTTCGCTGCGGAAGAAGGTGTCGCGTACCTGCAAGGAAGACAACGACGAAGAAGAGAGAAAGAGAGAGAGAGAGAGAGAGAGAGAGAGAGAGAGAGAGAGAGAGAGAGAGAGAGAGAGAGAGTTGAGCGATACACGATTGGTTTACCACGTACCTGCGCTAAAGATATTGTCCCGAAGAGAGAGAGGGAGTAACGTAAGATTGGTTGTGCGGTCCAAGACGAAGTAGCGGCCATAGCCGCGGAGCTCAGGACACGGAGGAGAGAGGAAGGTGAAGTAGAGAAGGGAGGGGAGATCGGAGAGGAAGAAGGAAGGAGGGACAACGAAGTGGAAGGCAGACAGTGGGGGTGAAAAAAAAAAATAAAAAAAAAATGGAGGAAGGGCGAGAAAGAAGAAAGGTGGAGGAGGAAGAGAAGGGAGGCTGGCGAGGAAGAACGTGTCGGCAGCCATAGCCGAGCTAGAGGTTGACTGGGCGTTGACCAGAGGGTTGACCGGGGTGTGACCGCGTTGACCGAGGCGTTGATCGGAGCCATGACCACGATTTTGACTAAGTTGGAGTTGGTATAATCTCGCCAAGCCCTTAGCCTATCCCCTCGCCCTATGGATGTGCACTCACCCTATGGTAATTGCTGAGTCTGAGTCTGTCTATCTCTTCTTTCTGCATTGAGTCTCTTCTGTCCAGGTGATA